AATTATTATATGGAGTTTTAACGTACCTGAAAAATACCAGATCGAGTGAAATGAACCAATGGGAAAAGTGAAATATGATACCTCCTTTTTGTAGTAACAGAAAAGGAACTCTTTGGACAAAAAGGTAATTTACTTTTATTCCGTCAAATCAAATATTAATAATTACTATTTATTTATTTCAATAATACTTTATATTTTTTTTAATAGAAATTTTTTTAGTTCACAATTGAGACAAGAATATGATAAATAAAATTTATTGAAAATTGAATTTTAATTTTAATTTTTTTAACAATTGAGGTTTGATATTATCATGATTGAGTTTTCATCTATAATATCCCTTGTTTGAGCCACATTTTGAGAGGAAAAAATGAATTTTTGAATAGTGATTTTTAAAGAATGTGTGGTTAAAAATTAAGAAATTTTTTTTGATTCACGTCTAATTTTTTTATTGAAGAATATGTTATTAAAAATGAATTTTGAAAAAATAGACTTTCAAAAAATGGGCTCAAACAACCCCTAAGAGTTCGTGAAAAATATCTAATGATGATTCCATGTGTCGAGTAAATAACTTTAGTGAAATTAATTTTAAATAATATATAGTTAAAAAAAAAGTTATGAGTATACGTGTAAAAATATTTTATTGAAATAGTGTGCAGTTGAAAATGGAAAAATAAATTTTATAAAATCTATGACAAATATGGACTAAGATTTGAAATGTAAATCATTTTAAATTAGCTATAATGTTTTCACGATTTGTTACTCGGATTAATCCATTTGTACAGAACTATTCACTTTACACCCTCTTACATGAGGCTGGTCCCATGCAATAAAAAAAAAAGAAAAAAATTACCCACCCATCCATACCCCTTGTGAGTATCTGTAGGTTTTCTGTATCTGTATGTGTACTGCTGTTCTTGTACTCTCATTGACTAGCTGAAGAACACCTATGGTTGGCTTAGCTTAAAAAGGTGCTGCACCGACTTGGTTGTACAGGGACTGGCCAAGCTGCATCACTTCCTGATTGAGAGCAGTCGTTGAATCCTTTATGGCTTGGGTTGAGCCTCTATAAATAGTATCCTTAAGTTCCCCAAGTTTTGCCTCGACCTTCTCTTTTAGTGGGGCAGGAACCTTATCCCCGAGTTCCTTAATTTGCATCTCCTGTCTGGTAAACAACTGAATCGGCCTGATTTTTGGTATCTATAGCATCTCTCTTCTCTGTCTTCCTTGGCAAACCTTTCAGCTTCTTTAACCATTCTATCAACCTGAGAATGCAAGAAATGCGAACTGAGTATTCATTTACAAAAGAGATCTAATTAGGAAGGTGACGCTTTTCTTATACATGAAAATCCCCATTGAACAAATAGTGTCTGCTACAACAGCTCCCACTTAGTGGCTTCTTCAGCATGACCTATGAGATTCTGGCTGCTAATCTCTATATGGGTGCAATACTACACAGATTATGTTTGTTAAACAGTGAATCACAAACTTGTACCACATCATTAGGCGATGTGCTGGCACCAGTAATGGTGGTATCTTGTTTCTTCCATCTTTTTCAAATGCAAAACAAATAGATTGTTGCTGAAAATTAAACGAAAAAGTTAATCCATGACCCCGTAAGCAAAGTCATTCTGAATGTTCGTTTCTCGTTCATTAGTCGTGAAGATACTTCAGAATTAAAGATGGTAAGTTTCACATCGACGTGTTCGAACATCACTTAATACAATATGCTCGAGTATGAACATTTTCGATTTATGTTCAATTTTGATGTTTCTTTGCATTAGGAATGTTGAATAAGGAAATTGTATTCATTTCCGCCGTGTATTTTGTATTCAAGTAGAAACGATAAGATTATTTTTAGCTTGAACGAAGAGATTTACTTGATTGAATACTGGTTGCTATACTTGCTTGGATTTCTTTTCACTTTTTCTTGGTTAATTCTTTTCGTGAATGCTCTTTGTGCCTAAAGGTGGTGCCTTTTCATATTTGCCTTCAAACGTGAGCTTTTGTAATTCAAATATCTTGTAAGGTTTTCTATTAAGGTTCATAATTCCCCTGTTACTTTGGCTGTTTGCTTAAAGTTGACGCTTTTTTTTTTTGGTATTTCCGTCAAAAGTAATGGGACTATAGTCATGCAACCATGCTACAGTGCAAATACATTAACATAATGCTTCTATTATTGAACACTTTAAAATGCGATGAGCTTTTCTATCCAATCATCTACTGTCAATACACATCTTCAACCTTCCTGTCATTTTCCTTTTGACAAAGTAGATTAATCCATAGTCATAACAACTCGATTGAAAATGTTCCAAATTACAATTACTAGTTGAAATCCGAGTCCCTTGTGAGGTGGTTCAAAATTATACTTGAGTCGAGCAAAATACAATAGTTCAAGTTTCTTTCTTACTCATTTATAAAAGTTAAAAGCGTACTATATTATTAATGAAAAATTATTCAGTCCCCGTTTGACAATCATTATTAGAGGAAAATCGAATTTTGAATAGTAATTTTTAAGAGAATGGATAGTGAAAAATAAGGTTGTCAATTTGGCTCGTCATTCGAACAGCCCATGGCTCGACTCAGGAAAAGCTCGAGGCGGCCCAGCTCGAAGAAACCCAGCCTCGTTTTAGGACTTCGAACCTAGCCCGAGCTAGCTCATGGGGCTCGTCGAGCCGGGCTAAACACGGGCAAAAATGGCCCGTGTTATTCGAAAAAAAATAATAATAAATGGCAGCCACAACTACCTCAAAAACAAGCAACAGTAATGGCCTGTTAAAAAAAGTGAGGCAACTGTAGCTGCGGTTACAACTACCTCTAAAACAGGCAGCTACGTAGCTGTCTTTAGTACAAAAATAGAAGGCAGTTATAGCAGGCAGCTATGGTTGTCTTCTGCCTCAAAAAAAAAGGTCGTTGTAACATCAAATTCAAACTTAAAATTCAAATTTTATATAAACAAATATATATTTTTTTTTTTGCTATAAACACAAGGTAAAATTGCACACGCTTTTTATTGTTTAAAAAAAAATTAGAATGTTACGAATTAAAAAAAAAAAAAAAAAGAGCCGAGCCCGAACCAAGCTTCAATTTTCAGCCAAGTTTTGGCTCAGCTCGGGCCAAAAAAGCTCTAGACATTTTTACCCGAGCCTCGAGTTTTGACTCATCTCATTGACGTCCCTAATTAAATAATATGGAAAATTTTTAAATTTACATGCATAATATTTCATTAGGTGAATGTATTGTTGAAAATGAGTAGATGGAAAAAAAAAGTTCTAAAATAGTGGTTATCACACGGGCTCAGTATATTATAGACGGTAAAACTTATTGAATGCAAAAAATTTAAATAGTAATATGGGCATTCTCATTTTTCATTGTTCAGGCATCCTGCAATCCTATGAAATATCTCAAGAACGCCTCTCTTATGAAAAATTCTCATCGACACTTTACAATCAGATTAGTCCAGAAACTTCACTTGTAAATTGAAAAGTTCACAGGCTGGTTATAGCTTATCCGCAAAAGAGTTCTACGGTAGCTTTTAAAATTGACCCCGTGTATTACGAATAAGCATTATGTGATAAAATTCCATAATGTCAGAAGTGGCTAGGAGGGCAAAGCCATGAATAAATATTGCCTCGGAGTGTGCTTTTGGAGTAAGCCACTGGACTATATCTGGAGGGATACACGAAAGTTGTGAGCAAGAAAAGGACGCATCAAGATGTTTCAAGTTAGGAAGAAAACAACAATGTTGCAACAAAATGGAAGATCGAAGAAAGAGAACTATAAGACGACTAGTGTCAGCTACTTCGCTCCTTCAAGTTATGAAGAAAACAATGATGTTTTGTCTCAAGGGAAAAAAAAAAAAATAACAATAGAGTCACTGCTCAGTACCCGCCAAAAGCTGCTTTTCATTCATATATTTTCCTAGTGTGGAAAATCTGTCACGAGATTAACGTATATCAGCATCGTTAAGTATTTGGCCAAAGTTCCATGGAGATCAAGACAAGGTTGAAGCGTCATTGCTTACAAGTTACTTTCGAGGCTTATTGTCACGGTGACGAATACCAATGGGATTATGTACATAAGCAAGCGCTCTAAATCATCAATCCCTTCTAACTCGTTTATGTTTTTCAGAGAATCGCCATTTTTCTCTGTCACAATTCCACTCCAAATTGAATTCTTGAAAATGCACCAATTCAAAAGAAAAAGAAAACCCTGATCATGACAAGATTTTCTCTGCAAGAATACAATTGTGTAAGAGCTATAAATAGATAATATGGTGATGTGAAGCATGAAAAGAGCATACGATAATTAAAGAGTAAATATCTTGTACTCTTTTAACTAACTCCTAATCTTCTAGATTAAGTTCCCGTTTGACAACTATTATTTTAAAACTCTTTAATTTGCATACTCACTTTCACACGTGGACAGATCCACATGGGGTCTTGTGGGATCAATTGAACCCACAATTTTTATTTTTTTTATAACCAGAATTTTCACTTTTTAACCCCAGAATTTTCATTTTTGACCCCACAGTTCATGACGTCTGGCTCCGTCCCTGCTTTCACACATTTACACAATAAAAATATTTTGCACGTAAATCCAAAACTTTTCTCGACATTTTAATCACATGTTTAATGAAAATTACGTTAACAAATCTTGTTAACATATTTATCACTTGTTTGATGGGGATTAAAATTCAATTTTTAATATATTTTGATAAGAGTTGATTAAATTTATTGTTGAAAATTTGTGAATTCTATAAAATATGTGATTAAAATTAATTATTGACTTTAACTTAAATTAAACTCAGAGATTTTAATCCCTATAAAAAAGGGTGTTTCTTGAAATTCAAATTTAAAAATAAAAAATAACCAAAACAAAACAAAACAAAAATTTGCAAACACCAGTAGAAGACTTCTATTTAATAACAACTTAATCAGATTAACATCTGGCCATATAATACCCCAAAATCCATTGACAGAAAATTCAAATTATGTAACAAATTACATAATTGTGCAGCCTGTAGCGTTTTCTTCACTGAAGTAATCGCACCTCCTAGCAACACAGCAAGGCGGCCTGCCATATACATATCCACGTCCACATGCATAATTCCCGTCGCAGCACGGCTGTGGCGGAAAGCCATAGCCATGGTAGCACGGCCCGCAGCAAGGATTGACTGGATGAACCGGCGGGAGTCCTACTGGCGGCCCGTGTGCGGGGTTAGTCAGTGGTTCGGGCTTAGAGGCAGCCAGTGGTGGTGCATTTCCTTTGCATTTTGATTCGGTTTTCTCTGGCTCTTTAGGCTTCCCAGGCTCTTCGGGCTTCAGCATTGGAGGCTCTTTGATTTCAATGCTCTTAATGAACTTGCCACCTTTGCTACACAATTTGTCTCGAATTTTCTCAGGGAAACAGCATATTACAGTGACTGTCACTGTATTTGCCTTATCGTCAAACACCCTGTCCCTAATTTCTCTTGTCCCAAAATGTTCACACCACAAAATAAAAGAACAGAAAAAAATAGGGTCAGTCATAATCCAAAATATTGCTTATTGCTTAAAAGGAAAAAAAAAAAAAAATCGCTTTTAAGAACCGGTATTAAAAGAAGAAGGCTCACGAGGAATTCTGCAGAGAATTTTCTGAATCTTCTTACAGCAGCAACGGCATTGGAGATCGACTTTCAGCACCATTACAGTTTTCTATTACATCAATGAAAGTGAAGCAAAATCAAACAAGAAATCTTTTGAATTAAAAACGAACAGAAATTAGTGGGGTGTGATCAAACTCGTTACCTTCTCAGGCTCAGCCATGGTTGGTAGTGAGGAGTGATAGTTCTAGAATCAGAAAAACAAAGTTAGTTGATTATGATAACAAAGTTAAGACCGAGAGTACGATCCTATAACGTTGATATATATATAAACTTAAGGAGGAGAAAGTGGTTGCTTTGTCATGTTGAACTTTATGAGAGTCCTGTCTACAGAGGGGAGGGGTGGGGTGATATTGCTGATTCTGTACTCTGTGGTTGCATGTGTTCGCATTGATAGGCGCTGCTCAGTCACCTTCCTATGCCCATATTTGTTTACCGTTCTTTAAAAAAAAAAAAAAAAAATTCTAAAACTCGTTTTTAACCACGTAAACTCAAAAGTTTTCCTTACTTTTTTAACCACACATTCTATGAAAAATCACTATTTCTAAATTCAATTTTTTTGAAAAGCTCTTTTAGTTGGGCATCAAACAGCCAATAAATTTTTACAGTTTTATCATACACAAGCAAATGGATTAAAATTTCCAAGTTTCTTAAGAAATTTGAATATCCAAGTAAGGAGGTTTCTAAGAAATTTTAATTAGTCGATCAAATTATGTTATGATAACACAACATAATTTTTTTTTTTTTTTTAACATAACATATTATCAAACTTCTAATGTTATTCGTTAGGTTGAAGTTGTCA